TTTCATAGGTCAAACAGCGTATACCCATCTTCTCTCTCCTCCCAGTTGTCGGTTACATAAACCAGGAGACTATAATCAGGAGGATTATTGGTGATAGTAGGTGGCTTTGTTTTACTTCTGTTTTTATTTCGAAGGTATCACTGAGCTTTCCATTGTGAATCACTTGGCATGTAGCAAGTAGCATTATATAGCATATAGCTGGTGTTGAATGAGATTGATAAAGCTTTGTGGCATTAAAACCGTAGTGTTGAAGCAGCTGCCAAATTCTTTCTTGGTCGACGCTGTCAAAGGTATTTTCAGAACCGATGAAGTTAAGGTAGAGAGTTGACAGCCGTTCTATGCTGTGTCCTATGATGATGCGTGGCGTTGCAATTTGATCCATACATGATTTGTTATTCCTGGAGCCACCCAGCCTGTTCCGGTCATAATTTTGAACCTAAAGCATAGTTTTGTCTTTTCAGGATGAGCTTAATATTTTGCTCGCCTTGTGTGGACAGCAGCATGTTTACTCGCCAGTTCTCACTAAGACTTGGGTCTTCCCTCTGTGGGAGTCTGACAAGGTAGCTCTTCTTCCAGTCGAAAGGTACCTTTCCTTCCTTCCAAACTTTCTTCACTAGCGGTGTGGTGTAAGCATGTCCCCTCCTGATGTCTCTTGGTTTGTTTTCAGTGCTTCTGATGGAAATCCATTTGGCCCTGCTGCTTTCCCAATTTCAGCAGCTTTATGTTGTTCCGGACTTCACTTCTGCTTTTGTCGGAGGTCTTGTGTTCACTGTTAGTTCTGCCATTGTTGGTGGTATTTCTGGATGAGTTGCAAGTGGTGGCCGTGGTCGATTCAAGAGTTGTTTGAAGCGGTCAACCAATCGTTCCCTTCCTTTCCCCACTTTGGTGGTAACTAAGTTTCCTTCACCATCTTTCATTGGTCTCATATGCGTTGATCTCTTTCTCACCAGATAGTGACCTGGTTATTTGATATACTGTTGTCAGGTCTGTGTCTCTCCTACCTGTAGCCTGTCCTGCTTCACTGGTAAATGTGTCGTAGAAGTGTCTTTTGTCTTTCCACGCACTCCACTCCTCTTCACATCTTTGTCCACTGTGGTGTTAAGTAAGTTGTATTCATTTCCCCATTTCGTTGTTCATCCATCCACTGCACTGCACTGCACTGCACTTGTTCATTTTCTGCTTCACCATCACCATCTTCCTCTCCATGCTCTATCAGCCTCCATGTGTCCGTCGAGATCCATTCCTTGTCTCGTCTTGCTTCTTCTTCCTTCCTAATACGGTTATGCAGGTTTCTTTCACGTCTCTTTCAAAGAGTCCCAGTGTTTCTCCACACAGGTTCTCTCAGGGATATCTGTCAATGTCTCCTATTTTGTCCTGATGGCTGATGTGAAGATGCCGTTTGTAGTTTCATCCTTCAGTTTCTGTTCTTAGTGTTGAACTTGAACTGTGGTCTATCATCACCAGCTTTTTTGAAGGCTTTTGACTTGATTTCGAAGGCAGGTTCCTTGCACTAGATAGTGATTAGTGTGATCCTACATCTGCTCTTCTTCGTGATCTTGTGTGCAGTAGGCTGTGTCTCCACTTTTTTTGAGATTGAGGTTGAGATTTGAACAGTGACCGGACCTGGTAGCTCAGTTTGTAGAGCATCGGACCGAAAACCTAGTGGTCGCTGGTGAGAACTCAGTCAAAGTCTAAATTTTCATTTCACCTTCAATCATCACCCAGTATAAATCTAATTTAACGAAGCAGTATATATAACATGCTTCTGCTTACATTTTTCAGTAGTATATAATTACATAGCAGGTATAGTACATAGCTATTTTTAATTTCAGCTATTTGAAAACTAATAGTAAAGAGTTCTTAAGTGGTAAGAATAAATTCTCCCCGGTAGTTATTTTAATAAAATTGTATACCATTATAAAGTGTTTAAACCAACCACTTTTGTACGCGTAAATTTAAAATCTACTCTAACTTAGAAGTATTAATTATATATATATATATATATATATATATATATATATATATATTCAAATAGAAAAAGATGAATGCAACACTTGAAAAACTACGTAAACATGGAAGTGAAACTGTGGGAATAGTAATTATTATAAATGTGATCATGTGTATGTGTTACTGAGCTGATTTGATAAGTTAAAAATAAAATAACCTTATTGTTTTCAATCCTTTAATCAACTAGAATTAAAAATAGAATGTTGAAATTAAATAATTCATTTTAATGCTCACATTAATGCAAGATTTATTTAGTTGATATATGCATAAACTATGAACCATAAAATGTATGCTCTGGTATGTTCTATTAGTTGACATGAGCAAAACTGATTTCAATGTCAATCAACAGACCTAATTAAAATGATTTAAATAGAGGATGAAAAGCTTTTTTATTACGTAAATTCGACGATAAACCTTTTTTCCACTGGGAAGCATAGTGACCTACATAAACAAACTTAGAAACTCTCTGTGCGTTGTCATTTATATAGAGTGAAGCCTGTGACTAAGACTAATGTTAACAAAACTTCACTTCTATTGTTGATATTCAATGTAATAATTCAATATCCTGTTAGATAAATGAATAAAAAGCACTTACATTTTTATTAATTTATTAGATTTATTATACAGTGTAACAGTATTGTTTACTGGATTACATTTCAGACAATAATTGATTGTCCATACTCATTTCAAGATAACTGCACAAATTTGAGACATCTTTTACCTAGTTCTAATTCCCCCGCCGCCTTTGTAGAATTTCTCACATATCTGGAACAGGTGTTGACTCATTCCTGTTGTATGTATTAGATATTGATTCGATAAACAAAGATTCAGTTATTAATCTCTCCCTCCATCTTGCCATGATAGTTTCAAGGATTAGCACGCATAGTTATGGCTGTGTTTTTTTCTAAATTCCTCACCTTAGCATGAATTTTACCCTAGATAGTTTTTTGTGCTCGGATGGCTTAATTGATCCTAGTTGACTACTATGACCCTCGCAATGGTTGCAAGGGATTTGACAAACTAGATTACTCTACTTAATTGGATCAATGGGATATTTTAACCTACAAAGCTTATTTCTCAGGAGTTTGCGAATCTCAAGTAGCATTTCTGAGGTCCCTTCATTGTATGGTAATACTGTAGAGGTTTCGAATTCCCTCTTCACATTATTGCCACTACTATCATAAGCATCATTATTAATACGGTTAGCACCTATGTTACCAATATTTTCTTACTTTTCCTGAGAAACTTGTCAATTAATTTGGGATGGTAATTGTTGATGAGCATGGCGTCTTTAATGTATCTGGTTTCTTCGTTTAGGTCTTCTGTTATACTGGTAACCCTTTTGGCTCTATTACTTAGACACTTTATTAGGCCAACTTTAACCGGCATAGGGTGAGACAAGTTGAAGTCTAAGTGACGATATGAAACGGGATGGAAGTTGAGACACTAGTGTCTACAGAAAACATTCCCAGCATATATATAACCTGGAGGTGTACACTTCTTGATAAAGCTTGCAAGATTGACCACAAGCTTTGTGAACTGCTCTCATACCCCTTCTCTGATCATTCTTCATCTGTAACCATGTCAACATTGCGTACTGAAGTAAACATCAGCTGGTTTTCCACAATAGGTGTTACAATCACTTCAGACAACGACGACTGAAATTCGAATAACTGGTTTGTCTCTTTTAGCCTATCAAACAATTCATGTACATCTGTAAGGCTTGGAATCGGAAACTAAACTATAGGTAATAACAAATAAAGATCATAGCGTCACATTTTCGTTTGACGGTTAAGCCCCTAAACTTTATACCGGCCTACAGTTTAATTTAAATGTAATTTAGCTAGGTATTTTCAAATCTCTGAAAATGTTTTGTTTTCGAACAATAACAAAAACTCACTTTTATCATCTGAAAAGTTAAAGTGAGTAGGATAGTGCAGGTAAACTGGTTGATCTACTTCACAAAAGTTAGGCAACTTACTAAATGCTTTTGCTGAAGATATCAGTTATCGGATATCACACTTCTAGGAACTGCAGTAACCCCCAGAAATTGATTGATTTGGTTTCGAAGATTATTGAAAGTAAACAAGATATGAATTCATAAGGCTATCTGTGATCCATACACTTAGTGAAAGATATCATGACTGAGTTATACCGGTTGTGATTAGCCTTCTGGGTAGAGGTCAGTGTCATTCGATTTGTCTTTTGACCAAATTCTGTCAATCAGTTGTTAAAGTGATCATTAAACTAAGCGACTAAGGATTATAGCTCACTGCATTCTATTTGGAATAGTTGAAGGTATTCAGGAAAGTGTCTTACTGTTAAATACTGTGCTGGCTATTGATTGTCACCAGAATATATCTTGAAATGCTTCCACATATATTTCAACTAGGTTATTGACTTTTTATAAATCATGTCGAGTAACACAGGTCCTAATATAAAACGAGACCTCAGCTTCCGGAAGTCTGAACATGATTCAGGCTAATAACTGCAAAATATCAATAAAACTTAGATTCTAAGCTTTTCATTAACGTATTTCAACTACACAACGCTATGTTAACCTCCCTGAGTGAACAACTAGAAGATAAACAGTCTTTCGTACAATAAACTGTTATCATTACTATTTTTTTTCAAGTTATTGCTCATAGTTTATGATGAATTAGTTAGGTCTGTCAAATAATTAATTGATCCAAGTGAAATAATCTTCTAATCGTCACAGTGACAGGCACTCATGTACACACATATAATCCATTCGTCTATTACTTAAGTCTATTGTGTTAACCTCCTGCTAAAGGTCCTTGCAGTCTTCAATTTTAAAGTGAGGAACTTCAAATGGAAACTGGGTAAAGCACACAGATGACTGTAATTTATAGCTATATAACTTATTGATTTCAAGTTTTACTGCTTAACATTTGTGTTAACATTGTACAATTACTTCACAAAATTGTTCAATTGTTTTATTTAACAGTATTTAAAGGTTTTTTATAACTCACCAAATCCTATTTGTACAAGTCCTGTAATAATGATCATGATTAAAGCGGCTACTTTTGCATAAGTAAATATGTCCTGCACAAATGTAGATAGTCGTACGGAGAAAGCATTGACGAAACTCAACAGTACTGTAGAAGAAAAGTAGAGTTAAAAATAAAAAGTGTAATTATCAATTAAAGAGTAATGCATTGAGAATATTTAAATAAACACATATTTTACTCATTATCGTTAATGTGGGTCTGGTTAATTCTAGTCTTTAGTTTGAAGAGGAATATTTATGTTTCGATGGATAAAAGAAATGTATAATTCATTTACCACTTATAGGTTCATTCATTGCTCTCTAGACAAGGACTGCTGTCTCTGAACAATGGTTATTACAAGTAGTCTACGCTTGAGAAATGTATGATATACAACAGTGACTCAACAATAGATTGCTAAACACGAAATTGTCATCTATATGTAAAGAAGCAAACTACCTCCAAATCGAAATTAAAGATGACAAGAAAAAGGAAGGATAGGAAGTGTTAAGTCTCGCAAGTTTCTATTCAAATAAAAAAACTTAATGATAAACCTGTACGAGATAATAAACACTTTCATGGACAACTGTTTATCCCAATACAATCTTATTAGCCACTTAAACAGTTTCATCAACTACACTAGAAAAGATCAATCATTATAAGAATGAAAAGAAGTTAAGTTATAACAGAGTACTGGAAAATATGGATCTGATTAGTAAATAAGAATAAAACACAGAACTGTTCAGTATATGAGGTAAGACAAACAATAAATGAGCACAAGTTATCTATATCTGTTTAAGCGCTTACATCACAAGGTTTTCAATTGACAGCTTTTACTTTTCGCTAAGCCTACAGTCAGAACTCACTATATAGGTTTTAATATATTCGGCAATGAAATTTATCCAGGACATTCGCGAAAGCCTACAGTCCTACACTTGAACATGATAAACATAACAATATTCTACATTGGGGTACCATCTCAAGTTATGGCCATTCTTAGCCTTCTATCATCTGAAACCTACTCCAAAAATTCTGTTACATGAAATAATACAGTGGCTGGAAATATAAATGTCAAGGTCATTAAGGTCACCAAATATTCATAAGCCAATTATTTGTATATCCTGCTAACATTAATCCTAACAATATACTGAACAGATATAGCAAACACAAACCAGTATTTCAAAGCTACAAGTGTAGTTCCATGATATTTCCTGTCATCAGGAGTATTGTTGCGTGGCCATATAGCGGGATGAAGATAACTGCCATAGTTCGATTTTCAGTCTTTCTTATCTCCCCAAAGTCGTAAATGGTGTCAATTACTTTTTTTGAAGAAGTTTTCACTGAATGATGTTTCACTAGAATTTACAAGATTACTGACATGCGTAAACTATTCAAAAACCCTACATATTATGCTTTCTAATATAGGCTTAAATTACATGTTCGTCAATGTCTACATTAAATTGAACAGTCTTTCGTACAGTTCATTCCTTTTACAAATTTAAACAACAATGAGACCTTCAAATGTTTTCATTGCTTTATTAAAATGAATAGGATTTCCTAGGCAATACCACCATTCTATTGGAAACATTCCAGATACATTAGCGATGAATTATTCTGTTTATATACTACAGTTTATTGATTTGAAGTTAAACTTATAACAATTTCTAATGAAATGATAGACAGCTTCACTGTTCAGTAGAATGTAAATTTCAAAAACTTTGCATAGTATTTCTGGAATTGCCATCTTATTTTAATGAAACTGACTGAAAGTTATATTAGTCTATTTCAAAATCTACCTACATCGATGGTATTTTGTCATTTGGAATACGCTTTCATAGTCTTTCACAAATTCTGACCATTATATAGGGCTTTACCGTTTATTTAAAAGGAATAATGCTTTTGATTACAAAGAAACTGAACAGTATGCAAAATGTTTAGCCTATTCTAGGTGGTATCTATTCATCCAATTTATCTAAACTCAGATATGAGTAAAGTCTGAATCTGTGACTTATATCACTTCGTTTACACTACAAGTACGCATAGTTTTAAAGAGTTGAGATAGTTATTCAATGTTTGTATTATCCTTCCTTATCTAAGTGACAAAATATACTGGTTATCGATGACAGTGACGTTCAGCTACTAATATCACCTAATCCAAAACATTTTCTTAAATTTGTTGATATAGTTGAAGGTAGTTATGTCATGAAAGGTGTATATTTTAATTTTCATGAACTATCTGAGAACAAGAAGACTAACCACAAACGAATATGTATAGTATGGTGGAGTTTGTCTGTCTCCATCGTCTGTATATGCTATTTTACTTTTTTCTTCAGACCTTAATCTAATAATATATCCAACAGTTATATTTTTTCTACAAAGTAAACAAAACTGCACAATATAAGTTAAATGTTTGCTTATATGTGAAGCATATAATTGTCATAGATTACAACTTTTACATTTCATTTGTCTCTAGTTGTTGATCTATTGAAATGAAATGATACAATTCTTACCTAAATAAAATAATCATTTGATTCTGTTTAGTTTATGTTATCATATGTACTAAATACCAGACTACTTATGAATGCTGACTGAAATAGTTATAATACTTATAATGGTCAGTATACAATCATACTACGTGTTCCTTTTGTCTGACTGTTGAGTTATTTATAAACCACACGATAATGTGTTTACTGAATTGTCTCGTTTTAAACCATAATATTTAGATTTATTCCCTTTATCATCACTAGAACAAAAAACTAACATTTCTCTTCTTTAAATTACCAGGAAAAACTAAAAAGCTGACTGACTGATTGAAAAAATCAACGGAGAATCTTGGACACAAAAACATTGTCTCAAGTTGCCATATTTCACTAGAATACACCAAGAAAAGGAGGATAGAAGAAGACTGATATCAAAATAGACAAATTTGTGCGATAGATTAAACGTTAGTACGAATATTCAAGCTTAAAAAGATGTAGAGGAGTGAATGTATCTGTGCTAATGTGACCGATTTTCTGTCACGTCATCAAAGGTCCTCAATCATCACCAAGATATACATAATCGATATTATTAAATCAATAAGAAGCCATTGACACAGCAAGTTACCTTAATGAATGACTGTTTGTCGGTTGAAATACTAAATGGATGGTTCGATGCCCACATGGACAGTAATAATGAATGAGATGCAAGCAATTTCAGCTGATGAACATTTGTATCCTATTACTAGTTAATACTGAAATAATATAAACAATCACACTGATTAGTTTTTCATGCTTTCATGCAAACTGTTTATGGTTGTTTGCATATTATTAGTTGTAAAATATATACCACTTGGTTATTTTGTTCAGCAATGCAGTAGATGTAAGTTTTTGAAAACATCAAGGGATCTCAGCAGCATGATCCCGCTCTTTTCTCTTAATCTTCCTAAAACGTTTAGTAACGTTCGATTTGTTCTTTGTTGTTGAATGATGCATATGAAGTGATCAGCTTTTCAAGATATCAGCTCCTGGTGAAATAAGCCCCTCTGTTATTTATTAGTGGGTAGTATTAAGATATGGGCCACTCTTACCGTGACGTTAAATACTGGATGAATTAATGACCAAATCAGTTTTAACTGTTTATTTTGGTACGTGAAATCAGACAAAATGTTGTTCCATGACTCATCAGTTTACGAGAATAACATTTTGTGTAACGATCGCCATTCACTTGATCTTTAGATATTTGCATTTTTTAGACGAAAAGCAACCAGTATGTCTAACTGTTTAATCTGGCCTATGAGTTACGTTCACTTCTACTACAATAACTTCTGAAACAAATCCCATCGAGAATACTGAGATTATGGTACTAGTGAAGCCATCTAACGGGATATTCGGTTTCTGCTACTAGTCACCATTAGGACATAACAGTGTTGACTAGACTGGTTAGTTATTTCTCGCTTTCTAAAAATTTATTTACAGTATTATTTGATTTAGAAGAGTAAGGCGATGTAATTTAGGTGAAAGACGAGAATATCAAGGTTGGGTGATTTTATGAAGAGAATGAATCTCCTTCTCTCATTTTCTTCCAAGTTACTGTTTTAACTAAGCTATCAAGAAGTGAAAATTTTCAAAGAGATGCCAAAATGTAAGTTTTTCCTTGGATTAGTCACTTAGCTTGTACGGTCAAAAAAGTCGCCTAGGAGCGATTAAAGCTCACTAATCATAGATAGGTCACTAAGGTCCACAAATTTTTGAAATAAGTTTTCATATTGTTTTGGGATTACGTCAAAATGCATATCAGCGTTAAGATACTTTCTATTTCCAGTGGAACTTAACGTATTACAATAGTATAGCTTCCCTTTGACTTGTATTCTACTAAATATGTCACTGGAAATATTACATTATCTGTATACTTCACTGGTGTTATTATATAGTTCATTCACTTGTGAACATACCTCGCTTTGTACTTGAGATATCTTGCTTGTCTGAACAGCTAAATGTTGAGCTCGTAAAGAAGTTCAAAATGAATCGTACATAAACGACAATAACCAATGGGCAAGGTTGAGATATTTTACTTACAAACGAAGATTTTCAAAACAACCATATGAACAATTTCCTAACAGGAACTGATTATTTTTCCTAACCATTTGGTCACTTGTTTACTTTCGGAGAACAGGATCACTAGTTATTTTCTCAAACTTGGTCAAGAAACTGTTTTTGTCACTTCTTGATCGAGTTTGAATTCAGCTGCCCAGCATGAGAAGTGCTTTTTTCAGTGGGGTATTAGTTTTATATTGACTGAAGCCCTTAACGTATAATACTATAAGTATCCAGTTTTCATCTGTCTCAACTCACGATGTCCATGGTAGTGGAACTGGTCTGAGGAGAAACAAAGATCGTAAGACATCAACGCAAAGCCAACTGATTAATTTGCTTATTGTTTTTTGTACCATGTATGAAGTTGAGTTGGAATTCTAACGAGGTTCTGAATTACTATGCTGTTGCTTGTATTTTCCCGTCGTTGACTTGACCGAATTTGTCGATCTATATTGGCATATTGGTTTCCGCGCGGATGCCAATAGAGACCGATTGATTTAGTCCAATTAACGACAGTGATATACGAGCAACAACATTAAAACTATACCCGTTGCACAAGAAGTGGCTATTGTGAGTCGGTGGCCTAGTTTTGTTATTCGAAGCTTTCTCAGGTTCAAGTCCCAGAAGGGACAACATCGCTCACTGAAAGGGAAGTAAATCCAGCTGACAAGTCTCAAATCGGAAGAAACGCGCATCCTAAATTCTACTGCTAGCCATTGTCTATAATTTATATTAAATTTTAGCAATTATTGGATATAGACGCAATTTAACGGTAGGGATTTGAAGCTGTGATCACTTCATGTTTTGCTGTAGATCTTGAATATCTTTTTACTGAATGTCCATTACCACCCTATAATTCTTATTATTCTTGTTTATTGCAGTAAATTAAAATTCATGCTGATTTTCTTCCCTTATGGTCTTCAAAGATTTGACAATATGAGGTTACGCACTTTCATATAAGAATACTCTTTCATGCTTCTCTGTTTGTCGCTCTATTGCATGTAAAAATGCTTCCTGATATCACTCAATTTTTCTATCGGATTCCTATATCTAACATAAACCACAGTGATTAGTCCACAATCAGTATAAAATTTTGACAATATTCTTCATGACATTGATGAAGGTTAAATATAGAACTAGATTTCTTCTACTTTGAGATGTCATTGTGAACATGTAAAACGTGTATCTTTTGCGGCAGTATACATTATATATATAAGAAAAAAACGAAGATAATCTGTCGGTTTTCTTAAAACCTTGTAAAGTGATTTTTAAGAAAATATTCTTGATATTTCGTCTCAGAAAATCTGGACATGAATGAACATCTTTTGAAATCACGTACAATAGGCTATAGGGGACTGTTTAAAACCAAGAATGAAATCATCACTCAGAGTCTATAATTTCAAGATGAAAAGCTAGCAGACAAGAATTCATTTGAGTAATCGAATTTTTGTGAGATAAAAAATGTGTTAATGTTGTTGTGAAGTTGGTCTATTGGACGAAACAATCACCTAAGAATTTCTGCTTCTTGATAGGCATTAAAATGTCCTTTATAAGAAGTGATGACATTGACCATTACATCTAACATCAACTATAGTTGGTCCAGTGAGGTGCTCAAATAATAGAACTGGGAAACTCACCAGTAAATCAATTGACCTGAATAAGGAATCAAGACAAAGGAAAACTGGATGATGAACAGCTATTCTCTAGTTTTTACTATGAAATTCGTCAGAAATACGCATTTTTAACCTAACGGTCTTATTAAACTAGATATACAAGAGAGTTTGGTCTATCACATAAAAAGTAGTTATTATGACGTTAAATACACAGGTGAGATCAGTCAGTCAAAGTTAGTAGGATTGTTGATGCACGATAACTTGAACAAATCTAAAAATATAAATCTCACTATGGACTATAAACTAAAGGAAAACTCAACTACTTTAATGTATGTCGTGGCATACTACTATAAAACTGGTCGAGATGAAGCAACTGTACTAAATGACAATATAGTGGGAAGATAGATTAATTGCAAAATATTTCTTCATCAGAATCCAACATGTGTAGTAGAAATAACTCAAAGCCCATTTCGAAAGTGTTAAAATTTATACGCCCATTGAAATAAAAAGTATGAGACACCAGAACGAGAAAAATCAACTGAATTTAAAGGACGCCTTAGCAACAACTGAAATAACGAATCAGGCTACTTTATTTTATGGAAATCTGCCTTTCTAGCCGAAATGAAGAAACTTAATTGGTCATTTTGATCGTTGTGAGGGTGGTCTTTAAAGTCGCCCGCATAGTCACATGTTGAAGCTGCGTAATTACTTTGATATGACTAAGAGCAATAATGTATACTAGGAACATCACTCCCTGAATAATATTGTGTCAGTGTGTGCTATAATAATTTAATCAGTCTGTCATGAATTTACCCATTTGCATTCACTTTATCGGATTCCTATTTTTAACTTAAATATATATTGGAAAACAGTGATTTACCCTTGGCAAAAATGATTCGGAGGAAAACTTACTTATGCATACTGCTGCTAAAAGGCGTACTGCAGTTTCAGGTTGATCACAGTCAGGAAAAATTGGTTGTGCAATATACTTTGCAAACGTTATTGACATAATTGCCACAGATGCAGGCCTAGCGACAACTACTTCTGACCACAGTCGAAGAAAACCAAGAAAAGGACCGAAAGCCTCGTAAACATATATATAATCTCCACCAGATCGATGAATCATAGTGCCAAGCTCAGCATAACAGTATGCACCAAGCATGCTGAAAATACCACAGGCAACCCAAATGATTAAACTTGCTCCGATACTTCGGACATTTTCCATAATACCCGTTGGGCTAACGAATATTCCAGATCCAATCATAGACCCGACTATAATGGTTATACTACTAGCAAGGCCAATTGTCTTCTTCATTTGCACAACTGGCACATGTTCACGTCCACCGTTTATTTTGTCAAGTTCATGGACTTCTTCCATCATTCTCTCTACAAATAAAAGTAAAGCTGTTCAGTACCACTGATTTTCAGAAATCTTAGAATATAATGAAAATATAAACATTAGAAAAAACATTCCATACTTCTCTGCAGAACAACATATCTCTTCCCAAACAATAAATTACAGCACAGTTTCTCTACATAGGTTTTCGTTTTTATAGTCAAATGCTGAAAGCGATTTTCCTAACAGCTTTCAGAGATAGTAGGATTATCCTAAATTTCAACAAATTTAACAATGAAACTGCAATTTGGTAACCTTATTGACTCTTAACTGAAATTCAAGTAGTATAAGTCTGTCTAATTGGAATGATTCTGATGATTTTGTCTTTGTAGTGAATTAGAGTCATTACTTGCTAAAGCATACTAATGTATACTGATTACATAAGTTATCACCAATATTCCATTGATAAAATGAAACATTTTTCCTGGTTCGTCAACGTAAAGGCCTAGGTTATGATATAAGATATAACTTCATAGTGTTTATCCATTGTAATGCCAAAAACTGGAATACAGTCAGCACAGTTGTACAGTTGGCAGTAAGCCACGGTTATTGTGTGAGGAATACTAAAAACTTTAGGATCAAAATTTGACCTGACAGAGATGAATAAGTTGGGCATTAGGTAAGTGGTTTGTAGTTGAAATATATTTGTAAAATGTGAGGGAAAATAATCCCAATACTGGCTGGCGATCATAGTATCAGTAATCGGAGAGCCTTCTACACTCCGGCTGAAGATCAAGTCTTTAGACCAGTGAGCTACGGCTTTATATCTAATAATGCAGCTGACGTCAGACGGCTACTAATGGTATGTTCCCCTTACACAGCCATAGAAAGCTATGGTAAATAAACGTTCATTGTCTTATGTAAAACGAATCCTCACAGATGAGATATTACATCAAACCGCCACATTTTACTGGATTATTATTCGGTGTCTAAAAATACACAAGGTGGTGTAGGTTAGTTTATGAAGACCTATCATTTTATCAATTCTAGCATCCTATGAAGTCAGAGTTGCATCTTGATAGCATTTCTAACTACAATATTTGGTTGCAAGAGTTCAGATCGCTAAAACAATAAAAGTTGCCTTGAGGTTACGGATACATCTTACACAGGAGTGCTAACTAGAATGAAATCAGGGTTGATGTTCTCAAGTAATTGTCCTCAACCATCTGACGTTAATGTAATAGACTATCACATTCATTCTTCTGGCTTAAGAATAGCACTAAAAACGTAATCGATGGATTCATACTAAAAAATAATACTAGTTAGAATAATGTTGGTCGAATCCACCCATTATGACATTTCCTTGGCAGAGATACCGAGATATCTATCGAAGTTTGTAATTTCTCCTAACAATGTCAATCATGAAAACTAAAATTTTTCAGAGACTTCTTTGGTAAGAATTTCTCATCCATAAAAGTAACCTTTATGTTGAAATGTGCTATGTTCTCTGCCACTCCAAAAAGGACTCTCTATCTCATTCTTTCAATGGTTTAAAGGTAGCGATTGAAATGAATCAGCAAGCGACTTCTCTTCTGGGATTGTTTGGTCCTTAAACGGGACTCCTGAATAAAAAATAGAGTCAACTTTATGTCTCAATGTTGGGAGAAAAACAAGCCATTTACTAGAATGCTCCCCATAGAGTTTAATGCAGTCTAGTCACTCATTTGTTGACACTAGTAAAAGTTGAATATTGTGTGTTAGTGTTCCGAATTCTTTTCTTAAGTAAACTGTACATGAAAAACAGTAGATCAGCATTAAGTTTCGTTGCATGCTACCCGGCTCCGTATAGGAACGGGAAATTAAAATTAATATAATAACAACTGATACCCGTTACGCAAGAGATGGCTATCGTGCCCCAGCAGCATAGTCGATAACCCGTTGGCATTTGAATCGATGCGCACCGGGTTCCAGTCACAGTGGGAACAACAAAACCCACTGGGATGCAGGTTCATCCAACTGGCGAGTCCCGAATAAGACGGAACGTGCATTCTGGATTCCTCTGCTAGTCATCAACATGAATATAACATATTTTATAATGCCTTCTCTTTGTAAACATTTTTACAATGTCGGGAGAAGGATATGTTTTGCACAAAGTACATACAAAATGCAGAACCGATTGTAACCTTGAGCGGATTGAAAAACCAGTTCAAGTTGAAAATATGAACAACCAAATACTTGACTAAATTATTATTCATTGAAATCACTTCCATTGTAACAATAGGTAAAACGGAAATCGCTGGAACGAATAAGTGAGTTATTTAATTACAAATGCCTTAAAACTTGATGCAACAATCACTTAACCAAGGGTGGATTTTTATTTGTAGTTGCCATGGAAAATAATCTTGAACAAAGCTGTAAGTTTAGAAGTAGAAATTAGGTCCAGAATAAGCTGATATGTAAGGTACAACTGTACTTTTAATGATTCCTCAGAAGATTTATGTTGTTGCTCAGATTCTACAATGTCATTGTTTGCTCGATATTTTATGTAGTGAAGTTCCTTAAATATGTTTCCATCATCACTTGAAAAAAAGTAATGTAATTATAATACAAGTTCACGAATCAGGCAGTTCAGAAACAATGAATACGTTCCCTTAATGTGTCAAGAAACTACTTCTGCAGGTATCTAAATCTAACAAACTCTCGTGATTATCTTAATCAGACGGTTCTGAGCATAAAACATACAGCATATCACTTCTGTAGTTCACACATTTTCCATCGTTTTGTATATAAGAACATCATTATAAATAGAAGCTTTTGAAGACGCAAACCAAAAGAGAACATAAGTCAGCTTAGCAAACTGGTTAGTAACTGAAATTAGTCAGAGTGTACACGGAAATAAAAAAGAAAGTAGATGAGGTGATAGAGTTTCCACTATATATGTAAGCTAATTGATCCGTGCGTTCAGGGTCATTTTTTGGCCACGCCTTCTATATTCTTCAATCACAATTTTGCTAATTTCACCAAACCAAGTGAGAAGGTTCAAACTTTCCATTCGGCTCAATCAGAAAGTTAGTACATTCATTGTGTAATGATACATAGTTTGATTTTAAAAACAATTTGCTGGTAACCTTTTGTTGACGTCCAGCAGAATATGAGGGAATTTTCCTCGTGGGGGTGGAAATGAGGAACAAACTACCATATGAGTGACACACAGCTTTAACCTAACATGTTGAACATCAGTTTAGCGGTGGGCTGACAGAATACCTCACTTTTATTTCACACTTCAAAAGCTGTCATGAACACAAAAGGTAATTAAAATGTTGCGTAAAAAATGGCGTTTACCGTGCATAGTATGTCAACATCTGGCATTTTTACCTACCGGTCATCTCCATTCAACCTCTTTATTAATGACCGATTCCTTAACTGTTGTACTGTCTATTCTGTTTTCTATTTTATTGATTATAATGCTTCAGGTCTTTCTACATAAAAAAAATTTTAAATCTGAAATAGATGTTTTCCCTACAATTTGAAAACACTCTTCCCAGTTTATATTTGAAATCCTAATTTCGTTGAAAATACCGGTTCAAAGCTGCACTAATAAAGGTAGTTTTTAATTTGTCTGCCATATTCAAAACGTGGTCAGATATTCTATGACTGTTAGTGCCAATAACTTTAGTTTCAGTTGCTACTATTGCTTGTATAAGGTGTTTGTGGCCTTTAAGAAACGAACGAGATGAAAATGAATAACCTTACCTTTCAAAAATTTGCTGCAGTTTTTAGTTTTAATTTAAAAATTATTTTCTTTCCATCACCTAACGTGAAAAGCTTAGTTTTCAGAAGAGAAATTATATGTGGTACACCTTGTTTTTTGAGTGACACTTAATAAAAACTATAACTCCTGTGTATTAAGCTTAGTAATCTTTAGGAACTATCGCAATTTACCTGCGGTTGCAAAGGATAACAATACCTCGTTCATTCTCAAAAAGCATCGATTTGATAAGACGTAGCATGGCATTTTCAAGCTGATCGTCATACATAAGGTGCTAGTTTAACAATCATTTTCGTTGAAGTTAAACTAAGAATCCTACTGATAATCCATGAACATTAATGATTCCAAGAAGATAACGAGACTCCTATTAACATACACTATTGTAAATGAGACAACAAAACACTTAATCCTTCGGTTAAAAATAGGTTGATGAGATATAAGTGCAATAACTTAAAACCTACAAACATGTTGCCAGAATCATCCTCAGTAACGCAGTAGACCTTGGTTGGTGAAATGTTTGAACGTCATCAGTGTAAGTGAATGTAATAATTAACTCGGATTCATTTGGCATACAGCAAAATAATTCGCATAGTATAGGTAGACTGTTTTCGTCTCAGGAAAAAATGCATATGCTTATCTGTAACTGCACAGCTACAAATAATCTGGCTCACTTCACAAATCCAGTACACTTAAGGTCTGCATTTAACTAAAACTATTCAAAGGTGCAAATGATACTAAACTTGAAAAGACGTGAAGTGCTCAAAAATGATGGCCATTAAAGCAAAGTGAAAAGAATAATAAAATTCCCAGATATGGAAGTTAATATAAGACCAATTAAGACAGTGAACATGAAATCACATTAAGTTTAATAAGCTTTGTAAATTATGGAAAAGATTTGTAGTACAGGATGACGTTTGGTTCATTGTTTCCTGGGGCTTGGTATTTGACTGGAGGGATGTAAAAATCCCCCAAAAGGCAGATTCAAAAGCTGCAAGAGAATTTCTAGAAGCATGGCATTCCAACAGAAGATCAATCAGCAGACATATGGATATAGACTCATTCTATAAACTACATAGAAAAAAATATCCATTCATCAACCAAGAGAAAACTAGCTAAACAAATCAATAATGGTGTACAGTGCAGCAGTAAAGGAAAGCATAATTTCTCCTTGACGAAGATCATCTAATAACTTGGCGGAAAGACATTTAAGGTTAAAGAGACCAGGGTATCATAAAAATCTCTCCCTCAACTCAAAACTAGATAAGATACACAGCCAATAAAAGCACTACCTAAACACTCGCCTAACATTTGAATATGCCTTGCTTCTTTATGAAGTTAATGTTTGAGGTGTCACCAAACTTCTAGATGAAACATCTACAACAGAATATCAAGGCTCAGAGGGCGGCAAACCACCATTAAATGTATAAGCTTATATTAAGCTGAAAACTACAGTAGAAAACATTCAGTCAAAAAGTTACCGCTTCAAAATGGACGTAAAAAGCTGGAAGTCCAATTTTTAGCACATAATTTTGTTAAATAGGTTGTATTTTTGCTGCTGTTTATGTCCATTCTGGGTAAAGATCAAACAATTTACAGATATAGGAAGTGCGGTTTGCTCCTGCCGAATTCTTGTTAACTATGTGAAAATATACAATTGCATCGAGCCACAGAAAAACTTAATGCTATGAACTTCTTATCGCGAAAGTGATTAGAAAAATTACATTGAACCGCACAATACTTCAGTAAAAGACACTTGTTTTCAAAAGGTTGAACAAGAAGTAAGCCTCAATGCTTTGCAGTTTTGTAGATAACAGGAAGGCGTTTCTTTAAAAGAGTAATACAACTTATTACCTTGATAGTATACATTAAAGTAAGAGAAATAAAATTCAGTCCACTACTGGCAGGTGTTGATCTTCAGATGGACGAATATACTTGATCCAATTTTTAATAAACTTCATAGCGCACAAATGACGAGCACATGACTTAACAATTTTGTCTCAAACCAGCATATAGTAAGATCATTATCAGTTAGCATAATCGAAAACAAGATTTTTACCAGGGTCGCCCGATCCACATTTTAACTAGATTACCATTTTCAGTAATTTTATAAGATCCACTTAAAACTGCGGTTTCGGTGCCCATTCAATGTTTCGATAATAGTGTTGTAATTACTAAAACCAGTCTTTCACAATCTAGCAATGCCGTTAATTTTCAACCTATATAGATATTTCTGTATACAATGAGACAGTTTGTTCTCAAGCTTTGAATACTACACGAATTTTACTTTAGTCGTGAGCGATGCAGAGAAAATTAGACAATGGACATTGATACCTTATTCGAAGACATTGCCGACAAAAATTTCCCGGTGATGGCTTGAGCAGTAACTTGTAGGTATTAGGCAAGCTATGTAAGAATGAAATGCAACGTATTAGTTTGGTCTGGAAGAAATTATTTTAAAATATAACAGCTGGATAAACTGTTTGAAAGCTAATGGTACTAGTTTTTCAACCACACCAAAGCCTGCAACATATTTTATGGAAGTTTAATGCTGAACCCTAAAGCAACATCTTCGTCGAAAGTTGAATGAATTACTGAAATAACTAGTCGACAAGCTGAACTTACCTGCAACAACAAAAGAAGATTTCAATCAAACATATTTTAGAACCAAATCATATTACTACGTTATTTTATCAAGCTATCAGTCTTTATTTGCATTTTAAAAATAAGGATGGGGCTTAAAACAATCAACGACATGTATGACACAAAAAGTCACAGGAAGGGAAATGAATGAATTCTTGACGATACGAAGCTTATTAACATCTGAGTTTTCAGTCCTGCCACAGTCAAAAACAACCTTTAATGATAATAATCTTTGGAAATACCTAATAATGAAAACCAATTGTAGAGAGGTATCAAAGTTCACACTGAGAAACTAACTAACCTACACTCCGTTTTCACGATAACTAGTTGTACAAGAAATAATTTCTGTTTTTATACGAAATCGAGGTGACTTCATAAAACAAAATTCTATATTTCCAATAAATAATTCCTACACTGTGTAACTTAAATCACAGTTAAAATGGAATCCAAATTATGACGTTCTGTACAGACAGGACAATTTTCTATTCCTTGTTCAGTCCTTGAACTTCATGTGTCAACAGCGTGCTTTCTCCTAAATTCTGAGGTATTGGTTCGTCCGCACCTACATTTATGTGTTCATTACAGTGAGTAGTGTTATTAATTGGGGTGAATAGGGAAAGAAGACGTTTCACTCGCTGTTTTTATTATGCATTACGTAGTACTAAAATCATATCACAGTACTAATCAGGCCCGTGTCCAGTTATACTTTATACTTGTAAAGAAATGTGTGTGAAAGCATGTTTGCTTGTATAGTGAAAAGTCAATAAACTAGATGAAAAAAATTGTCTATCTGGAATTTAAAACTAGCATTTACTGTTATTCTTCGCTTGAGTTCCCAGTGAAACATTAGGCTTTAGAAGCACGTCACCTTTTCACTCTGTTCACTGCAATCTTCACAACCAGCAACAAGACTGTTACGAAGACAATTTTCTCCTCACATGATCTCCTGCATGTCACCCATGGACGCCAAACCCGCTATCTCATAAGCCGAAGGAGTTGTCGCTATAAAAACTATTACAAATTGTTCCAAACTGATTAGCGCATCTCCCTGCTGGTTGGGCATCTACATCACCTCTGTCTTCTCTACATCCGCTTGAAGCCCATCCTCGCTATCTCCTCTGTCAGCGTGTCAATTTCGCCTGTAGACCTTCAGTTTGTGCGACATTAGACATAAACCATCGGCGAAATCCATACGCCCTAGAGCCTTTTCATCCGTCAAACGGCGCCTGCCCCCTTCTCGCTCCTCACTCTTTGCTGCGTGACCCAGTCCAGTCCACCGCAATCAGGAAGGTGGTCGGTGATAGTAAGCAACCTTGTCTTACTCCCGTCTTCACTTCAAAGGCATCACTGAGCTTTCCATTGTGAATCACCTGGCACTCAGCGCCACCATATAGCTGCTGAATGAGGCTGACAAAGGTTTGTGGCACTATAACCGTAGTGTTGAAGCAGCTGCCAAATTACTTCTCGGTCGATGCCGTTAAACGCCTTTTCAATGTCGATGAAGTTGAGGTAAGGCAAAGAGTTGGCTGCCATTCTACGCTCCCTTCTGTGATGATGCTTAGCGTTGCAATCTGATCCTCACATGATTTGTTCTCCCTGCATCCAGCCAGCCTGCTCCGGCCGAAATCCAGTTGAATCGAGGGCATTTTTTAGTCTCTCCAGGATGATGCGGTTTCATATTTTGCTTGGTGTGGACTGGAGCATGATTCCGCGCCAGTTCTCGCATAGACATCGGTCTCCCTTCTTTTGGAGTTTGACAAGGTAGCCTTTCTTTCAGTCGGCAGGTGCCTTTCCTTCCTTCCAAACCTTCTGCAGTGGTGGCTTCAGCATGTCCGCTGTCTTCCTTGCGTCTGTTCTCAGTGTTTCCGGCGGGATTCCATCTGCTCCTGCTGCTTTCTTGGCCTTCGTTAACTTTACGGCATTCAAGACATTGCCTCTGTCAGAGAGCCTGTGTTCACTTGTGGTTCTGCAGTTCCTAGTTGTTTTCTGGGCCAGTTTTTATTATTGGGCGTTTCAAAAGCTTTTGAAATGTTCGCTGCATTGTTTCTTTTGATGATTGCCTTTGGTAAGTAGGTTTCCCTCACCACCTTTCATATGTGTTGATCTCCTCTCTCCTAGATAGTAATCTGGCTATTCGATATAATGTTGTCAGTTCTCTGTCTCTCCCACCAGCAGCCTGTTGCTTCACTTGCCAGTGTGTCGTAGAAGTGTCTTTTGTCTTACCACGCACTCTTCCTCACTTCCTGGTCCGGTGTTTTATACACTGTACCCAGTTCTCTTCTCGTTGTGCATCCTTCCACTGGATCATCTTCTGCTCCACCATCCTCCTCTCCCTGCTCTATCAGCTTCCATGTGTCCATCGAGATCCATTCCTTATCTTCTTTCTTCTTCCTTCCTAATGTGGCTGTGTAGGTTTCTTTCCACATCTCTTTCAAAGAGTTCCAGTGTCCATCCACACAGGTTTCTTTAGTGATGCTGCTCGATATCCCTCATCTCGTCCTGATCGCTGGCAGTTGTCTACAGAATTCTTCCTTCTTCTGCTCATCTGTATTATTTGTAGGTGCGTCTGAGTGAGAATATCGAAGTAGATTAGTGACTCTGCAATCGATAGATGGGAGAGTCCACTTCCATTCCATCTGCTTTTCTAGATTTTCGGCACCCCTGTGCCTTAGCTTCTCATCTTTTTTGCAATCTGAGAAGCTTTGCTAGGTTCAAACATGGTGCGGACATTCCATGTCCGCATTCTTACTTTCGCCTTCATTGACAGAAGACACATTCGCCGACTGGCTTCAAGAAGGCATTCACCAGCTAACATCATTTCGTCCCTCCGATTCCAGCGAGAAGGAAATTAATTTTTTTATGGTTTCTTCGTCGATAGGATTTGTTTTGCCGGTTATTGTTGCCAGGCCCATGCCAAACCCTCCCTTCTTATCCGGGCGTAGGACCAGCTGGTAGCCTGTGAACTAGTTAGCTGAGCGATGTTATTCAAATACCTTTATTGTTATTATTATGCACCGTCACTAACTGTCTTGGTCTAGGACTTACTTTTGAAGCGATGATTAGTACAGATACCCGCATTTTGGTAGCTACTGGAAAGCTTCATATACCGCGGGCAGGTACATCGGGACCACATTCATGGACGTCGCGTCAAGAACTCCTAATATTTTCCTGTGACTTGAGTGTCATATCGACAATTCGCTAATCTCCTACAGGCGTTACACTTGGAGATGGGGTCCCTTTTTTCCTCATTGGAGCCACATATGTGGCGATCATCACCACAGCCAGAAGATTTGCTCAAGAGCCCCTTTCATACTTGTTGTCCTTTCGTCACGGGAGTTAGGACGTCGGGGGGCGGTTTTGGCCAGTTGTGTAGATAAGGTCTACTTTTTAGTAACCTAGGCCGGGCCTGTGGAGTGCCATCTAGGATTGGGATCTGGCTTGTCTGGCGCTGATACCCTCGGCCACTAACCCCAGCTCCAGATAATAATAATAATAACATTTATTCCTAAAATATACAGGCACACACCATTTTTACAGGTATGAATCAGCTTATATACAAATTACATTCACCTTCATGGAAGGCAATCTGAATCCCTACCCGTTGTCACCATAAGATATAAGTGCTGCATGTTCATATGATGGAACATCCCAGCAGAATAAGTGTGCAGAAAATTTACAAGTTGGACAAGTGGAAGTATTGTCTTCGCATTCAAACAAAAACCGGGTTTGTATCTGGACAATACAGGTATTGTCTGGAGAAAAATAAAGCTCGAAGCCAATACTTCCACCGTAACAGTTTGTACTTTTTGTGTGAAATAATGACGAAAAGTTTATGAATCGTTTACATATTGTATTTCATTGACGATTCCAGGACTGTATAATTCATCCATGTTGATACCATTCCACAACAAAGATTCATATTCTTGATGAATATTATGACTGGAAGCCAAATATCTTCACTTCTCCAACTCCAGCATCCAGAAGCAATGGACTTGTCTGAATGTACCAAATGGACTTCCAGAACATCCTGTCCGCCGTTTACACAGGTCATGACAGCCTTGCAGTTGGTAAGTGTTGGACTTTGCTGGTCACTTTCATAACGAGTCAGTCCTAGATTTTGATGATTATGAAGTTGTAGTCCAGTGAACATTTTTTTATTTCTGCTTGTTGTAGTTGGGTATTCTGAACTTGGTAAAGCTGGTTGCCTTCCATGAAGGGTAGTTTCAACCATGGTCTGTTCCTTGAGTAATTAATTCGCAATGGCAACCAAGCCGACGTTTAGAACTGAATTTTTCTGAGACGAGAGAGAGCAGACAAAGCAGCAGGCGAAGAAAGCAAGATTTCCAACAAGGAGAGTGTTTCCTACTTTCATGCTTCTCCCTACTTAACTTCCCTTGTTATGGCTTTCATTGCATATCCATTTTCTATGGAGTATTTAAAAATATAAATTTCATGCTGTCATGTGGTGTAGTGTTTCTGTTTTTGATTACCGTGTTGGGTGGGGCAGAATGTGCCGTTAGTTTGAGGTGGTAACTTATGGAGGTCTCCTCAACGCTTCGTATGAAAGGTAAGTGTAGGAGTGGTGGCTGTCTCATTATACATTAAGAGAGCCGGGTATGCGAAGTGTCGTTAAGGGTGCTGTTGGTGTATTCGATAAACTGCAGAAGTCGCCAGATGATAAGAAGTCAGCCAGTAACCGACCAAATTCCGAGGTTGATTTGGAGGCCTCCACTTTAGCTGGAGGTCTGTTTCACAGCTGGGAGAATTTGACGGCAAAGAAGTTCGCGCTCAAGCAGGACTTGAATGACTTCACTTAGACGCTATGGGTGTGGTTGCGCAGATCGTAACAACTGTTGTGTTTGAACTGAAACCCACCACTGGCTGTAAACGTGTGTTTATGTAACACATTAAAGAATAGTATCAGGTTAATTTTGAGTTGTCCTATCCAAAGCGTTTCCAGACTTATTGTTCTGCATCTGGGGCTGTAGTCCTGTTTGCAATCGTGTCCTAACAATCTAGCTGTGAAATGCCTTTAGACACCCTCTATTTTATGTTTGTCTACTATGCGGATACCACTCAGTATAAATGGACAGTATTCTAGTGGTGGACGTACGCAGGTTTTGTAGGGTAGCAGCTTGACTTCTTTGAAGCGGAAGTTACGAACTATGCAACCCGTTAGGATCCTAGATTTGCGAGTCTGTGATGATACCTGCTCAGAAAATGTGAGGCCCCTTGAATATCTTAGCCCAGGCTCACTTACACCTTAAGAACAGGAAGTTTCGTAGACTGAGGATATGGTTGGATATCCACCTATGGAGCACCAAAACATATGCAGCCACATTTACCTATATTGAACTGAAGTCTCCAAGCAGCGGACCATGTGAATATCGTATCAAGCCCCCTTGGCATTGGTGCTTGGAAGTGGGATAAATTATCACGGGCGAATGTGTATGCAACCTCTAGGTCATCAG